ACAAGCAGATGCACATGGACACACATGGATGCACACAGACACATGGAGACACACAGACACACACAGACATACATGGATATCCAGGCACACATGAACATACAGACACACATGGACATACATAGATGTGCACAGACATGTGAAGACACATGGAGACACACCGACACACATGAACACACACAGAGACATACAGACACACATGGACACACAGACACACACGAACATACAGACGCACATGGACACACATGGATGCACACAGACACATGGAGACACAGACACACATGGACACCCAGGCACACATGAACATGCAGACATACGTGGACATACATGGATGCGCACAGACATGTGAAGACCCATGGGGACACAAGGCACACATGTGAATACACATGAACACACACAGACACACATGGACACATACACATGGACACAAGACACACATGGACACGTGGACACACACATGAATATACTTGGACACATACAGGAACACATAGACACACTGACACATGTGGACACACACGCACACACACACACATGCACTCTGTCACAAGTCCCCTGGGTCAGCTCCTCAAGGGCCAGAGAGCCAGGCAGAGTCTCAGGCTAGTGGGCTCCAGGAAGACAGCTTCTCCCTACACCAGCCCGGCCGGGCACCTGGACAAGGGCGGATCAGCTGTAGCTAACGAGACTCTTTCCTGCTCCCATTGCAGAGATGGGCAAACCGAGACCCAGGGAAGGGAACTGACTCAGGCCCGTGTGAATCAGCAGGCAGTGAGCCAGGGAGTCGTGCGATTGGGTGCTCTGGGAAACAGGCTGGGTGCCCTCTGCCTGTCTCACTTGGCCCCACGCTCCCAGGCCTGCCCTGGGTGTGCATGGGGAGCAGCTCTTTATAGCAATGATTCAGCATGGACCAAAAATCACAGGGGGCTTTCTGGAGGAGGGGAGAGGCAGGAGGAGGCAGTGAGGAATTTGGGGAGTGGGATCCTGCAGGAATTTGAGGAAGCTGGGGTCTTGCATGGGTGCAGGGGGCAGAGGGTGGCAGGAAGGGGGCCGTGGGGCTGGGATGTCCCCAAAGCCGGCCTCGCCTCCAGAAGGCGTCCACATGCAGTCATGGCAGGTGGGGCCAATCTGGCGACTCAGCCGATGCCGCTGAGCTCGGGCAGCGAAGGAGCCCCCGATGGCCGGGGGGTGTGGCCTGGAGGAGGGACCCAAAGAGGCAGGCTCAGGTCCACACTCCAGACCCTGTCTGGGGGAGCCTGGCCCCTCCTAGCTTAGGGTGGCGCCCCATAGTGCCAGCCCCGCCCGGCACCCAGGACTGGCACAGCTGCTGTGCAGCCGGAGGCGGCCTCTGCCTCCACCGGGGCCGCTGTGGGTGCTGAGGCACAGGCTCCGTGCGTGAGCCCCACGGGGGCCAAACCGCCGGGACGCCTTCTGCTTGTGGTTCAGCTGCCACTCATTTATCACGAAAGCCGTGGAGACCATTTACACGGCCAGCTGCCCGTGATGCCATGATAAAGCGTTCATTTATTTTCATTTTATCTGAAAGGCAGAGAGACGGCAAGAGAGAGTAGAGAGAGAGAGGGTCTTCCAGCTGCTAGTTCACTCCCCAAAGTGCTGCAACGGCCAGGCTGAAGCCAGGAGCCTGGAACTCCATCCAGGTCTCCCACGCAGGTGCAGGGGCCCAAGGACTTGGGCCATCTGCTGCTGCCTTCCCAGCACCTTGGCAGGGAGCTGCACGGGAGGCGGAGCAGCTGGGATATGGGATGCTGGCGTCGCCCGCTGCACCACAAGCAGGCCCTCATGGCCCCATCTCTCCCCTTCTGCTGGAAGCTGCTCCCACGGCCACTCCCACTGCTGGTGCTGGGGCTGCTCTCCCTGAGCCTCTTTTGGCTACAGTTTCAGCTAACACGGGGTTGGGGCAGAAGACAAGTGGCAGATGCCCAGCGTGCCAGAGTTCCCGCTGCCCCGGCTGCTGCCCGCACGGACCCAGCCCCGGGGAAGCTGTGCTCCGCTCACCTGTTACCAAGCCAGGGAGTGGTTGACCTCAGTCCTTAAAAGCGCCCTTTTGCCCGATTCCTAAAGCTTTGAGGCTTCTGGGAAATGCAATGAGGATTAGAAAGAAACGCCTGCATCTTTCAGCACCTGCCAGGACGCACTGCGAACATTTTGGTTGAATTCGTCCCCGTGGCTCGGGAAAGTTTCTGATTCATTTATTTTACTTAGAGAGAGAGAGAAACACACACTCCCATCTACTGGTTCATCCCCCAAATGCTCACAACAGCTGGGGCTGGGCTAGGCAGAAGCCAGTAAACTGGAGGTCAATTTTGGTCTCCCAGTGGGTGGCAGGGACCCAACCTCGATACCTGACGCGTCCTGGGGTGCGCGTGAGCAGGAAGCTGGATTGGGAGCGGAGCTGAGACTGGAGCGCAGGCCCTGACGGAGGTGCGGGGGCCCCAAGTGCTGTCTTAGCCTCTGAGGCCACGGCCCGCCCCTTCCCAGTGACTTTTTTTCTATGAATGTGTAGGGATACAAAGAGTGTATAAATATGCAAATCCGAATTCGAGTCATATAGTTTTGCATCCTGCTTTTTAATGCATTTTTATGAATTACTTAATACATGCAAAAGACTAGACACAGTTTCGGGGGTTAATAATAGAACAGCCAGATAGCCACTTCCCAGGGGAAGGGCCACATCCACTTCCCACGGAGGCCTGCTCTGGACGTCCTCCCGTGCCATTAAATATTCTCTGAGAACTCGAATTGTAACGGCTGTCCGGGCTTCCTTCAAAGGGAGTGCGTATTTCATCTACCAAATCCCATCTCCGTCGACGTTTGGACGCCTTCCAACTTTTTATTATGAAAAGACCATTGTGAAGAACACTATTATACGAAAATATTCGCCCGTAATCAGAACCGTCCATCTTTATTGTGAGCGGGTAGAAGCGGAGTTAGAGTCCACACTTTAAAACAGCAGCAGCCAACACGTCC